TAATACATTTTGCGACCCTATTCGTTTGCTGTAGTTTTAATTAGCTTTACTTGTGGAAATGTGCCTCGCGGCGTCAGAAAAGTTTAATAGGTGAAAGTTAGTCATGATTGAACGTGAGTCCTTTGTTAAGACCAGTCTGAGAGTGGCTGTGCCTTCAGTTTTAACACTCTGCGCCCTGTTTAGTATAGATTCAGTCAATCCAACTCAAATACATGGATTGTGTGTTGAAGTTTTGTTAGGCGACTACTGCTGGACGCTAACACACCTTAATTCTGCTAAAACATCACTCCATTGAGTTCATATTGGAGAATATTTTATTATGAAATCCTAAAAAAATGTTTTCTCAGACATTGCTTTCACCCTTTGTCTTGTGATGCTGAGGGTGTAATGAAGAGCTCCTGGGTTAAGTGAAGACGTAGAGCTCACAGAGTGTGCAGACGCTTGTCTAAAACACTCCGTTACTGTTGACTCTCGTGAACACTTGTTGATTCAGTTATTCATGCAGGCGTGACAGTGGATGAAAAGGACGGAAGCTGCATATGTTGAGGATTTTACGCTATGCTCCTATGTCCCTTATAAGCTTCCGCTGTTATCATTAATCATCTTTAGCTACTGATGGCCAATTTGCAATGCTACCCAGGTTGGCTTTCGACAATCTTGTGCTGCATTTGTTCGGGCGGTTTGTCCCATTAGGAAGAAGGCAGAGCAGAGACAGGACGACGCCGTGGCTTGTGTCTCACCTGCTAAAAAACTGCTCATAGAAGATGTGATATTTCAAAGGTTTCAAAAGGTCCAAACTGTAGCTGCACTGCACTCCAGAGATGCACAATTAGACATCCGTGCCTGGTGTTCGTGTCAGGGTTTTGGTGGGATTGCTAACCATTTATACTTGTGTTTGCCTATAAATGGAACAATGTCGAGTTTTGACCCCACATCAAAGAATGCACGTCTTTGAATCGTGTGCAATTCAACCGAAGAGTGATTTCCCCTTTCAGAGTGTTTCATTTAAATAATTGGAATACTAATTTGAGGCCTGGGGATGTAAACTCTAAGTATTCATTAGAGGAGAAAGAACAGGCATCATTTTGTGGAGGAGAATTATTTCTTTTTTGAGCTTAGTAAATATCTCACAGGCCAAAAGATGACAAAAAAAAAAGGCAATTACACAAATACAGCTGCTCAAAACAATACAACACAACAACAAAGAATAAAAATTCACATAACTTACATGATCCTGTACCTCTGCTACTGTAAATATGGCATTCTGGTTTCATACTTGAATGCAATCTGCACAACTTTCGAGAGACACATTAGAAAACAACAACAAAATAACCAGAATCGAGTAACAAGCAGAGACTGAAATGATATGACTTGGAGTCCCTGTGAGCCTTTCAACCCTCAGACACACAAAACATGCTGGCGGCTTTGAAAAATCTGCTTTTGTTTAAAAAGTCTCAGAAATGACAAAATTGATCAAAGTCAGAAACTGTAACAACAGAAAGGATCATTAAAGTTTCAACTTTCTAATGGTCCATGAACTAAATGTGTTTCTGTTGGTGAACATGGCCAACTTCATATTTAATGATGGATCTCATCAGTTGGGTTTCATTGAAAATGTTACATCAAAAACACAACCCTGACACAATGGAGAACCTGTTGGTCACATGACCAAATATCAACTACTTTTGGGCTGAACTGCAGGCTGTGTTTACACAAATCAGACAGAAGATAATTATGGTAAAGTTGTAAGTAATCGAATGTCTATAATATGTAGAATTAACTTTTTTTTAAAAAGTATTATTAACACCTGTGTGCTCAAATGTTGGACATGTTGGTTGCAGGTTTCACAATTTTTGTAAAACGAATAATTCAAGAACTTCAACTTTCATTGTTTATTATGATTTATAGCATGATAACTTTATTATACTGCACAGAGGACATTTTGAGTTCTCTCTACTGCTTGCAATGGTGATATGATGTCACCTTGATATATATTGCCTTTCATTAGGCCTCCCTAAATGCTGAAGG